TTTAAAATTTAAAAAATCAAACCCCTTTTTCATATTACAGAATTCCTGCATGCTCAATACAGCCAATGAAAAAATAAGCATGGAGATTAATATTAATAATAATAATAATAATAATAATAATGCTATTCCTTCCCCACTCCTTTCTACTGCACACTTGAAGCACTTGTCCGAAGTAGCTGCCCTCCTGGCTGGCTTGTCACAGTGGGGCCTGTGTGGTGGACACCCCAGGGCCGTTCGTTCTCTGTGGTGCCTGAAGATTCTGGGGCTGGGCCTCGAGACCCCACCCTGAAATCCTCACCATGCTGGCCACCCCAGGTTACTAGTTAGCAGTGCAAATTGTGATAACAGGGTGCTTTTTGTGCCTCTCCCCCACTCCTGGGCCCGACCTGTGCCAGCAACGATGTTGGGACTACTGTCGCATCCACCTCGGGTCTGGAATCAATCAGAAGGTGCTGAGAAAGCAGGTTCAGTGAGGGCTTCGGGCCTCAGCGTCTCTAGGCCGCCACAGAGACCGGGAGGACGCCGGAGCCCGGCACTCTCTCCCCATCCGGCACCCAGCACAGAGGTGGTGGCAGGGCCTCCCCATTTGCTAGCTATGTGACTCCGTTTGGCATTTACTGAGCACCTACTATGTACCATGGGCAGTGGTGGGCCCTGCAAATTCAGGGTGAACTAGGAGGCGTGGTCTCTGCCTCAATGGACCATGCATTGCACTCCCAGGTCCATTGTCACACAGGTGATGCAAGTCATTCTCCAGGCACAGCTGTGCGAGGCTCCACCAAGGCCCAGTCCGGGGACGGGGTGCTGTGAGTGTGTGTACTGGAGCGTGACTTGCTCCGGGGGGACCGGGGGCTTCTCTAAGGGAGAGGCACGGGAGTCAAGGAGTCAGCTGGGTGAGAAGGAGGGAAAGAGTGGGTAGAGCAGAAGAAGTAGCCAGTCGTGTGAGGGCCCTGAGCCAGGAGGGGACTTAACCATCCCCAGCCTCAGTTTCCCCATCGGTACAACGGGCACAGTAGCCCTCGCCTCCTGGGCTTGTTGAGACAATTTGGGGAAATCATGCCTAGAAAGCAGGTAGCCCCATGCCCGGCTCTCAGTAGGTCCCTAATGGTAGCTGTTATTCAGAATCACAGACCACTGGAAAGGGAAGCACCTGTGGTAGACACCCCTCTCCCAGCCCAAGTTTGTGGGGGTCCCCAGAGACCATCTAGTCCAGTGGTCTCAGCTGGAGTGGTTCTGCCCCCAGGGGATATTTGGCAAGGTCTGGGGACACTTTTGGTTGTCATAACTTGGGGGAGTGGTGGTACTGGCATAGCAGGTGGAAGCCAGGGGTGCTGCTAAACACCCTACAATGTGCAGGAAGCCCCCCACCAAGCGCCATCCAGCCCAAATGTCAGTGGTGCTGGCTGGAGGGACCCTGATCTAGTTTAAACCACTTATTTTACCAGCTGGGAAATCGAGAGACGTTGTTGGTCCTTCTCACAGCCAGCCAGGCGGGGCCAGGAGTGGAGCACAGGCCCGCCTCTCCTGGGCACCCGGCAGGGAGCAGGTTCCCTAGTGGCAGCAAGTCTGAAGGAGAGAGGGAGGGGCCGGCGGGAGGAGAGGGAGGGGCCGGCGGGAAGGGAGGGAGGGGCCGGCAGGAG